GGTGACACCCACCCGGAAGGGTCAGCAGGACCCAGAGGAAGTGGCATCCCAAGAAGGGTAAAAGGCTGCTCAGTGGCAGGGAGGAGGGCATGACGTGGGGTTGGCCTGGTGGCCTAGGCCTGGATTCCTGATTCAGCCGGAGCCTGTGGAGTCAGCCTTGTTTATTCTTGGCAGGAAGGCTGGTGCTGAGGGGTGGGGATGGGGGGGGCGGGTAAAGCCTTTTCAAAAAATAATAATCATAAAAACGCTCATTTAGAAGGCTCCCAAGATGTGCTGAACTCCAAAAGGGTCCTGGAAAAAATGCTGAGAAGGTTTAAGTGTAAATGGACCCAAAACACCATAATTAAATTTCCCTTAAATTTACCAGAGTTTGGGGTCAAAGAAAAAATAAAACTTAGGGAAAATACACTTGAGGTTTCAGGCAAATGCCAAGTGCTTAGGAAAATAGATTTCTGAGCTGCTCAGCGGCTACCGGCCTGGCCCCCGCCAGCCCCGGGAGCTGTAGAGGCCTTAACCCCTCCCTGGCCAGCGGTGGCCGCCTCTCCACTGCCCTCATTCCCAGGCCCACCCCCTTGGGGGCCTCCCCCACCCCCTGGCTGGCCCTCCCCACCCAGACTCTCCCCCCACCAGCACCTCCTGCCCTTCTGCACTGGGGAGCAGCCCTCTGTGCCAGGCTCCAGGCCAGGAGGTGGGCCCCCTGCCCCCAGCCTGGGGTGGTGCCCAGGAGAAGCCTGAGCTTTCATCCCCACCTCCCCCACACCACCACTCTCCTGTGTCTACAGACAGCACTGGTCTCCTTTTTTTGCTCATCTGGGAGCAACCACATTTTCCAAACCTAAAGTCAGGATTTGAGGTCTAGTAATCTGAGTGAACCAAGGGGCAAAAAGGCCAGAACGTTTGGACTGGGGCTGTCAGAGCACATCTGAGAAGACAGGCTCCCGACAGCACATGATTCATGGTCTTGCCCTTTTTGCTCAGCCTGCCGGGAAGCTCAGAGCTAAAATTAAGGATCTTGTACAGCAGTTAGTGTTGGCCAACGGACCTTGGAATATTTTCTCTTCTCCGTGTTCTTTAAAATTTCTGTTATAATGAGCAGATCAATTGTGCTTTTTCTTTTAATCCTCCTCAGATTTTCTGAGAATGAATCTAAAAAGCAGAAATTACCCACAATCCACAACAGCCATGGTGTCTCTCAAATCTACTTATTCTTCTTTGGGGGGAGGGGGCCGCCAGCTCAGCCCAGTTCAGCCGGGGGTCCTCTTCCTCCATCCCTTGGTGACCTGTCCTGGTCCCTGGGGCCCAACCCCTGGACCCTGACAGTAGTGGGGAGCTCCAGGAAGACCAAGCAGCCCCCCACTGGGGTTCCCAAGAGCCTCCTGGAGAAGTGGCCTGGGCACAGAAGACCTGAAGCCCCCTTGGGGCCTGAGTCTCCCCCATCCCTGCACTGAGCCTTGCGGCAGGGCCGAGAGAAGCTCCCACCAGCAGCCCCTCCCTGGGCCAGGCACTCCATCCTGAGTCCCTGAGGGGGGCTCAGCAGGAAGCTCTGGCCAGGGCTCCCCCTGCCCCGGTTCCCAGGCCTGGCTCCGGCCTCGATGGGCACCTATCGGGCACCGTGGCAGCCGCGGCCTGCCAGGAGTGCTGAGAATGGCAGGCGGGGTGGAGACTCCAGTCCACACCAGGAACATCCCCATTGCTGCGTGCACCGCCGCCGTGATCCCAGCGTCAGCCCAGGCCTGGAAGGGGAGGTAAGGAGGGGCAGATGCAGGGCTGGCTGCTGACAGCCTGCTGTGATCCCAGCGCCCAGGGCACACAGCAGCCCGCTCACCACCACAAGCCCCAACAAGCCGGGCCGCCCAGCTCTGACTCACCGACCAGGCTGGGCTGGGCTGGGCTGCCCGTCAGACCCCCACTCTTGCCTCGCCCTCAGCCTCACCTCCGCTCCCCGCGCTGCGGTCCTTGGGAGATGGGGTGGGGACTTCGCGGGGGAGTGGGGGGCGTGTCAACACCACACCTCGGGCTCCAGTGGGCCCGAGGAGTGCCTACCGCACCGGGGTGCCAGGAGGACTGAGCCAGGCCATTCCAGAAGGGTCTTGGGGGAAGTGATCTGTCAAGAGGGCCATGATGAAATAGTGGCTACTAACGGCTCCTTTAGAGGCAGCTTCGCCCAGCTCTGGGAAACAGGGCGCAGGCGCACTGAACGACGGCTCGCCCCGCGTCTGGGGAAGGCCCCGCGGAAAAACTGGCTCCAGCTGAACGGGCTGACTTGGAAACAATAATTGTGAACAATAAAATTATTTTGTCAAGAATAATAAAACTGCCTTCAAGCAATTCCCTCCCCCCGGTGGCGAGGGTGGGACAAAATGGGCAGCGACTCCTCCGGGGTTCGCAAGAGGCAGTGCTCAGACCCTCTGGAAGCAATCGGGCAGAGTCAGCAGCCTAAAGCCGTGCAAATGCTCCTGAACTTTGACCTAAATGCCACCAGACAGTGCCACTGGAAACAGGCCATAGTGAAGGGACCACTTCAAACTGTGGGCGGCACCAAAGAAACCAGCCACTGTGGGGTGTATGAAGGGCAGGATGGGGGCCTCCGAAAGGGAGATCCATGTCCTGACCCCCGGAACCTGGGAATGTGACCTTGTTTGGAAAAAGAGTCTTTTGTGGTCATTATGTTAAGCTCTTGAGATCAGGAGATCAGCTTGGATTATCTGGGTGGCCCTACATCCGATGACAAGTGTCATTATAAAACAGAAGAGAAGCCATGTGACTATGGGGGCAGAGATCGGAGCGATGCAGCCACAAGCCAAGGGATCCAAGAACCACAAGAGGCAAGAAGAGGCGGGAAGGATCCCCCCCCTGGGGCTGGGGGGGGGGGGGGGGGGGGGGGTGGGGGGAGAGCAGGTGGGAGGAATGGCCCCACCCTGATTTCAGACTGCTGGCCTCAGAACGGGGAAAGACTAAATTTCAGGCAACTAGTTTGTGGAAATTTGCGACAGCAGCCCTAGGAAAGGAATCCAGGGTGTCTAGTACCCAGGGGTCAACCGAGGCCTGTCACTGGAGGAAGAGGGGGGCTCACACCCACCCTTCAGGAACAGTGGAAGTGCCCATCTCCCTCTCGTGCTGCCCATTGGCCAGACCCACACAGAAGCTGATGGTGCCCCTGGCCAGTCTGGGGGACATGGGTGTGACCAGAGCAGGCAACGAGGGCAGCATACAGCAGAGGCACTCATCTGTCGGGTGGGCACAGAGGAGTGGGACCTTCCAGGGTCCTGAGGTCTAGCCTCAGAGGCTGGGGTGTCTCCAGGCTGCACCCGGAGCTGTGGGATGGCAGGAGCAGCAGTTCACACAGGGGCTTTCATTGTCCATTTCCCTGATGAGCAAACTGAGTCCAAGAAGCCACAAGCCAGGTGGGCCAGAGGCAGTTGGCTGGGGCAGCGCAGAGCCAAGCCAGGTCACCCTCTCTCCTGTCTGGCTGCTGCAGGTCCCCGCCCCCCTGGGCTTGCCTGAAAGTGAGAGAAGAGCTCTCTTCCTTGTGAAGGGGGACACAGAAGCCACAGCCACACTGGGTCCTCCTGCCCTGCAGCGCCCCAGGACCCCGCACATCCCTCGCAGCTCAGGCTCTGCCACCAGCTCCCCCCTCGGCCTTCCTCCGAGCCCTAGGGTTGGCATTCCCCCACCCAGGGCCCCCCAGCGCTGCTCTCCATTCTGATGTCTGGCGAGTACCCCATCTCCAAACTTCTTCCTCCTGGGGTAGTGGGGGTAAGTGAGCCTCTCTGGCGAGGCACTCACGCAGCTGAGCTCCAGTCGCTTAATAAAGCGTGTGCAACAGTCGCTTAATAAACGCAGGGGCGAGCCCGCAGCTTCCGGAGTCCCCTAGCGTTTCAACCCCAGGCGGGCAGGCAGAAGTGTCCTTCGCCCCCAGGCTTTCTGTGCTGCTCACGCCTCCGGGCTCAGCCTGTGCAGCTCCCTCTCTGTGAAGCCTCCCTGACACGTTTCACCCACAGAGACCACCCCTCTCTACACCGCCCCCTCCCTCCCAGCCTTCCGGGGCCTGAGCCATTGGTGGGCGGCCGGGTGCTAACCGGGACTGCGCGCTGTGCAAATAGAAGCCTGCGCTCGGGCTCTCTGTGCGCCCGCCCCGCGCGGGACCGCCCTCAGCGCAGGGCCCAGCGGTGCGACTGGGGGCCTCGCCGCGGAGCCGGGCTCCCACGCCCTCCGAGACCGCCGGGCGCCCCCGCCCCGCCCCGCCCCCTCTAATCCCCTCCGCGGGCAGAGGCGAGGCAAGCCGCGGCCCCGCCTCCGGACCGCCCCAGGGGAGGGGCGTGTCCCCGCGCCCGAGCGGGCCAGAGCGGGCGTGGCCGGGGCGGGGCGGGGCGGGCGCAGGCCGGCCTCCACTGGCTGCCGCGCGCCGGGCAGCCCGGGCTCAGTGCGCGGTGGCGGCGGCGGCGGCGGCGCGGGCAGCTGGCGCCGCGCGGTCCAGCTCGGCCGGGCGCACGGACGCACCGCCGAGCCGACGGCCGGTGGGACGGGGCGCAGGCGCTGGGCCGGCGGGCAGCGAGCGCAAGCCAGAGCCGCGCTCAGTGAGTCGGGCGCCCGCTGCTGCCAGGTCGGTGCGTGGGGACCCGGCGGGCGCGAGGGGACCAGGCGGGCGCGCGGCAGGTCCAGAGCGCGCGGCGGGCTCGGATCCCGAGCGGTCTCTGCGGCGGGGCCCGGCCGGGGCGCGGGCTTCCAGCTCTGGAAAGTTTGCAGCCGCCGCCGCCGCCGCCCTGGGAGGGCTCTGCAGCAGCCAGGGAGGGAAGGGGGAGGGAGGGACCGCGGCGGGGAGGCGGCGGCCGGCGCCAGGCGGCCCGGGAGCCCTGGGCGGCGGCGGCGGGCGGGGCGGACGGGGATCGGAGGGGCCGGGGCGCAGGAGCCCTGCCACCGCCGCCTCCGCCCCTGCGCGCCCGAGTAACGAGTTGCCTGCCTCCTCCAACAGACTCCCCGAGTGGCGCCCTCCCGCCGGTGCCAGAACCGGGCCATGGGGGGCAGCATGCTGGCGCGCGCCGCCTGAGGACGTCGTAACACCCGCCCCAGCTATGGGCGCTCCGGCTTGCGTCCTCGCGTTCTTTGTGGCCGTGGCCGTCGTGATGACCGGCGCCGTCTCCGGGTCCCCGGGCATGGAGCAGCGCGTCGTGCGGAGAGCAGCAGGTACGGAAGGACCCGACGGGTACTGGGGAGGGCACTGGACCCCGGCAGGCAGAAGCGTCGGGGCCGGGGAACGGGCGCCTGGGTGGCTGTGGGGCGCCGGAGATCTGAGTGGGCCCCAGGGCTTGCTCTGGGCTGGCATAGCGGGGCCAGCGTCCGGGCTCCCGCCGCCCTCCCTCCCCGGGGATCGGGGCCAGAGCTGGCGCGGCAGTTTGTGGGGCGCCTGGAGCCGCAGGGCTGCCACCCAAGTGCGAGGCTGCGGCGGCGAGCCGGGCACCGCGGTGGCGTCCGCAACCCCCGCCCCCAGCGGTTCCCCAGTGGGGCGCAGCCTGCTCCTGGGCGCTGTCGGGAGGGCTCGGGGACTGCGTTTCCACGATTCCCATTGTTCCGCGGGTTCTGCACTGACGGACAGTTTCTGCTGTTGGTGCCTCTCCCCCAACCCCCTTCGGGCCCCAGTTCGTGGCCAGCTTCAGCCAAAGCGAGAGGTTGGACTTTGGAGGGAGGGTATGAGAGTGCGTCAGCCCGGGGCCGGGCCCCAGCCCCTCAGTGGCCTGCATGACCAGGTGACACCTAGTGCCTCCGTTTCCCCCCACCCAGCTCTCATGCCCTGTGAGTTAAGATGACTGCCCCCAGGGGTGTGCAGCGAACGCCAGGCGGGGGCCGGGAGGTGAGAGGGCGGATGTCCGAGCGATGTGGAGCCGCGGAACCCCGCTGGCGGTCAAGGTCCAGCGGGACGTCGAGGGTCTGCGAGGAGGGCCCGTAGAGCCTGGGCAGGGGCGGGGCGGGAGCGCGTCTTGGCACCGGGCCCTGACCCGCACACGCACAAGGCCCTCGAGGTGCAGCGCGCGCTGACCCACGCTGCTCCCGGCCGAGCGCTCCGGGTGCCCACGCCCCGCACACGCGCTGCCAGGCCCCCGGCGGCGGCCGGGCAGAGAGGGGAGGCCGTAGGGAGCCCGCCCCCTGGAGACCGCCAACTCCGGGGCGCTGGCGAGGACCGGCGCGGGCGAGGGGGCTGCGCGCACCGCTGTCCCCAGCCCGGCGGCGGCGTGGAGGAAGGCCTTCGCCCGGTGAGCTCACGCCCCACCCGGGCGAGACCCGAACAGCCGCTCCTTTGTACCTCGGCGCGGCCACAGACCGCGCATTGATGGCGGCCGGGCCTCGCGGGGAGGTGTGAGTCGAGCGGCTGCGGGCGCGCAGTGCCAGGGAGGCGGCGGCCGCGGGCTGGACGGAGGCAGATGGCGGCCCGCCCCTCCCTGCGTCCCCCGCGCCCCTTCCTCCGGCGGCGGCTGCGGCCTCTCGGAACAATGTCATTTTTTTATGAATGAAAGTGGGCTCGGCGCTTGAATGTGCGTGTCATTCAGCGGCGTGACAGAGGCCGTCGGGAGGTCAGGGCGCGCTTTTAGCGCTTGCTAGGGCGGCCCCCGCTTCCAGGGGCGCAGAATAGGCGGCCGCGGGGGGAGCCCCGAATTAGCATTCGCATTCAGATAAAGATATTACTCCCTACGGCCGGGGAATGTCAACTAGCCCCGGGGGAGGGGGCGGTGGGCGGAGCTCCAGACCTCCCGGACCCCCTGCGGCGCGGAGGTGGGGCAGTGGCCCCCTCCTTCCCCGCCTCGGGGAACTGGCAGCGCCCCCACCAGATGCGGGCCTGGGGTAGAGCGTCCTGAGGACCCCCCCAGGGGCTGGGGTGCCCGCGCACCGGGGCCCCTGTCCCCGCAGTAAAGTTGGTGAAACAGGTAGTGAGTTGATAGGTCAATAAACCTAATCCGGTTCCTGAAGGAGCTGGGCCACGGGCCAGGCAGTAAAAATACAAAGGCCTCGTGAAATTTACAAAGGTCCCAGCCTGGCACTTTCCCGGGGAACATAAATTACGGAGCCGGAGCTGGCAGGGGTCACGGACACTGGGGAAGGTGTCCGCCGCTGGACTGCCCTGGCCACCCCAGGCCCCGCCAGGGCGGCCTCCATCTCCGCACGAAGCCACTGGCGGGGGGCCCCCGCCAGGCAGGAAGGTTGATGGGGGCCCACCCGGCCAGGAGGGGCCTGGGGGGAGGGTGAGGGCACTTCCCAGGAAGGCGCTGGCGGCACCCTCCCCCACCTGCTCCTCCTCAGGGCTGGACTTTGAGCCCCGCAGGCCTCTGGGTGGTTCATTAACCTGCGCTGAGCCTGAGGCTGGACCTCTGGCCTCTGAGCCCCTGCACTGAGCCAAGGGTGCCCCCGCCCCCCAGGCCCTCAAGTCCCACCTGGGGCCCTATCTGGGGCCTGGTGCGCCCCATTTTACAGTTGAACCTAGAGAGGAGCTAGGGGTCTCCTTGAGGAGGTAGGCGGGGCGTCTGCCCAGGTACCGGCTTGGGGGAGCGGGTGGCCAGGCCGGCCTGAGTGATTTACAAGTGAATGAACGGTGAGGAGCCTCTTCAGGCTGGGGGACCGGGGGGCTCCCTGACCCCAGGCCCTGCTGGGCCCGAGGCTGCTGGCTGCCCAGCCTGGTTCTGGTTGCTTTCCTGCAGCCTCAGTTTCCTCGCCTGTGCAGGATAACGGAAGGGTTGCTGGAGGATTAGGCTGGATAATCCTGTAAGCCCTCATTAGCCCGCCAGGCCTCCGGATCCCACCCCTTTCTTTTTCTCACTTTGTTACGAAACTTTTCATATTGTTTCCGGGTGGGGAGGGGACTGGGGAGGCAGGAAGGCCATGACTTCACGGTCCCTTTGGGGCGCGCCTCCCGGCCATTTAAAGCATGTACCTGGCATCAGAGACCTTCACCCACATCCAGAGCCAGAGGGCTTTGCTCTTCCTCTGTCGTCAGGTCCAGGCGCCTCCTCTGAATCGGGTCTGGATTTGATGCTTGTTCCCTGGGGTCTCCTCCAGGCCCCTCTCGTGGAGGGTGGCCCGACCCCTGCACACCCCACATGCATTGAGCGGGTCTCAACTGTAGTGACCCCAAACCAGGAGCGAGTTCCCCCAGCAGGGGTCGCGGCCCTCCGGAGCAGGCTGGCTCCACTCCGGCTGCGGCCTGGTGGACATCAATCCTGGGGTGTAGCCCTGGGGCGGGGGGGGTCTCGTGCCCCCTATTTTCACCAGCTCCAGTGCTTTAACTGCTTGTGGTGGCCCCCTTGGCCTGCCAGTGGGGGAAACTGAGTCACGGGGCCCGTGAGTGGCAGATTCAGGAGGATTCTGGGCCTGGGAGACGTGCCCGAAGGCCCGGCTTGGCCCCTCCAGGACACAGTACCCCTTGGCGGCCCCCTCACCGAGGTCAGGCCTTTGGCGGGGGTGCAGGCTGGAACAGGTGCTGTGGGACCCACGGGGGCGGACATTCCACCTCTGCCCACCCCCACATGGCACGTGGGCACCCACCATGGCACAGAGGACATTTGTCTTCCGACGTGTGTGGCGCCAGTGCCTGTGTGGGTGTGGACGGGCCCCCTTGTGTTGATCAAGAAAGCCTCCTTCCTGAGGCCATTGTGGTGGGAGCTGAGCAGCCTACAGCGTGTGCCCTCACCGCCCCTAGGCAGAGTGCCCCCTCGGGCCCTGCCCGTCACTCTGTGTCCCCCCGCCTGACGCCGCCCCCCCTTGGCGTTGCCTGGTCTCCCCCGGGTCCTCTGTGGCGCAGAGTGGATTGGATCTGCAGGAAGTGGAGGTGCTCCTGCCATCCCGGCCCTGGTCCGGAGGTCCCTGGCCTCTACGGCCACCTAGTGGGGCAGGGTCCTGGGCAGGTCCGGGGCTGGCCCTCGGCGGAGTGCTGGGTCCTCCCAGCCCTGCTGGACCAGGTTGAAGTGAATACTTGTGCGGATGGCTTGACCTGCCTTTGCCACCCAGACCAAACCGGAACCAACCACTGTTGCCCTTGGGCCAGGGCCTGGGGCTGAGGCAGCCACAGCCAGCCTGTTCTCGGCCTTCTGGGGGGCCTCAGCCGGCTCCCGGCACTGGGTGGTCCCCACATAACACCGTGGCCGGGACTGGGGGTCTGAAAGTCAGGCCAGGAGCCCCCTGACTGTGGGAACCCTGGGAATGCAGACCCCATGGGCACTTCAGGGACCGTCCTGGTGGGCGCCGAGCTTGTGGAACCCCCTGAGGTGGGGGGCAGAATGGGGCCCGTCAGAGGAGCCAGGGACTGGCGTGGCCAGAACGGGCAGCTGGGCCCTCGAATCTAGGCCGTGCGTCGGCAGAATGACAAGTAACGGTGTGACCAACCCAGCTGGGTCTGCGTGGTGGGACCACCCACCCCTGTCCCGGGCCCAAAGCCCAGGCTGCCTGCCTGCGCCGTGCATTGTCCAGCTCTGGCAGGGAGACCTGGGGGGGCTGGTCAGCCCCTGGGTCCCAGGCCTTGTTGGCCCCTTGGGATCTGGGTAGCCACTGGTCAGGGGAGGGGCGCAGGGGCCACAGTGGACATCCGCCCTCGGCAAGGACCCTCCACCCCGACTTCTCGGCACCTGCGGGGAGAGGTGGGCCGGGCCTCCTCAGCCTGGCCTGGCGGTGCCTGCTCTGGCCTCGCCGCCAGCCGAGTCTGCAGTCTTCCTCCCCTCGCCTGTGTCCTCATCTGTAAGATGAGGGGTCCTAGGTCCCCTCACCCCACTGGCCTGTGAGGCCCCACTGGCCACAACTGGTACCATGTCTGTGTATTTCTAGTCTCCTTCTGGGTATGTGTTCTCTCTGATTTACTGCGGAGGTGTAGTCGGAGGCGGGGCTCAGGCCGTCCATGCCCCTGAGAGCCTCCACTCTGGGCTGGCCTTGCCGGCGTCAGCTTGGGGCTCTTCTGGAAGGCTTGGGGGTGTTGTCTGACTGCGGCGCTCCCTTCTGGGGCTGGGCAGGTCCCGAACTGGTTTTGAAGCCAAGATGAGGGGTGGGGGGCACCAGGTGGGAATCCCCTCCTGGGATGAACTGTCTTGTCACTACCCCGCTCGTCCCCACCTCCGAGCCCTGTTTTAGCTGAGGTCGGCCAAGCACAGCACGCCCACCTCCTGCTTCGCTGCTGCCCGTGAGGTCGGAGCGGATGCTGCATTTCTAAATCATTGAAAAGAATCAAAGGAAAATTGGACACTCGGAAACTGGAGTGTTCCGTGTCTACAGACAGTGCTGGACTGGAGCGGCCCCTCCCGCTTCCTCACGTGTCCTCTACATAAGCGCTACCACAGCAGGGTCGTCCTCGGGACGGAGACCTGGTGGCACTACGAACAGTGCCCATGCCCCGGCCCTGTGGGAGAGTCAGCAGGACCACAGGCTCTTCCGTCTCCTGGGCCCACCTCAGCCCCCACAGGCCCCAGACGGCCCCCGGCTGCAGCCTCCCCCCGGCACGTGCGGTGCCACAGCGCGGGGTGCGGAGCCCCCGGCGTCCCTGGTTTGGGGGGCGCCTGCCTCATGGGCCCCCATCTTGCCCGCAGAGGTCCCGGGCCCTGAGCCTGGCCAGCAGGAGCTGGTCTTTGGCAGCGGGGACACCGTGGAGCTGAGCTGCCACTGGCCCGCGGGGGCTCCCTCAGGGCCCACGGTCTGGGTGAAGGACGGCGTGGGGCTGGCGCCCTCAGACCGCATCCTGGTGGGGCCGCAGCGGCTGCAGGTGCTCAACGCCTCCCATGAGGACGCCGGGGCCTACAGCTGCCGCCAGCGCCTCACGCAGAGTGTCCTGTGCCACTTCACCGTGCGCGTGACAGGTAGGGCCTGCTGGGGCCCACGACGCTCCCGAGGGTCCTGGTGGTCTTGGGGGAGGGGAGGCCCCCGGGAGGCGCCGTCGGAGTGAGGGGCCCCTGCCTGCTTGCAGGGCCACCTCCCATATTTCCCTCTCGCCTGCGCTACAGATGCTCCGTCCTCAGGAGACGATGAAGATGGGGAAGACGAGGCTGAAGACACAGGTGAGACCGGGTTCCAGGCACGCAGGGCTGCCCAGGGCTGGGGACCAACCTGCCACTGGGGCCCTGCTCACCAGGCAGGGGAGAGACCGAGGTCTGGGGGCCACCTCCGTGGGGGCCCCTTAGTGTGGGGTGGCGGCGATGCGTGCCCAGCTCTGGGCTCCGGGTGGCAGGTGACGGGTGGGATGGGGCACCGTGCTGTGGGGAGGGGACCGGGGACCGGGGCTCCAGGAGTAGCCGGGGGGCCAGCGTGGCCGGGGCTGGGGCAGTGAGGCTTGTGGGCGAGGTGGCCCGTCCCACGTGTGACTGAGACAGGGCAGGCGGCAGCGGACAGAGGGGTTAGGGCCGGTGGGGGGCGACTGAGACAGTGCGGGTGGGAGAGGGGCGTGGCGCTGAGCAGCAGGGACAGCAGGTCCCGGCATATTCACTGTGAAGGGGCTGCGGCGGTGCTTTCCGGTGACAGGCTGAGGGTGACAGCGCCTGGAACAGTGAGCAGCATGGGCTTTGCCCAGTGGGCGGGGGCCGGTTCAGGGAGGTGGCGTCTGGTTTTGGAGGAGCTGAGTTTGAGATGCCCCAAGATGCGGGAGTGGGGTGAGGGCCCCGGCGGGCGCCCCGCCGCCTCCCGCCTGTCCCCTGTGTGTCCCGCTCACTCTGGCCGTCCCAGGCAGGGGGTTGGCGTTCTTCTTCCTGAGTGGGCTCAGGGGCCACTCAGCAGGGTTGCTGGCAGAGCTGCCTTCCTGAAGGCATCGCGGTCTCCAGTCCCAGGGAACAGCCCCTCCCTGCCGGGCTCCCTGGGCCACCCTGGGGTCTCTGACACCGGCCCCCGGAGCTCTGGAGGCGCCTCCCCCCGGTGCCTGCCCACACTGCTCCCCACCCGGGCTTCAGCACCCTCTCGGAGGTGGCTGCACGGATGGCAGCAGGGTCGCGGGGAAGGGCTCCCTCCCTCCTGGGGACACCCACCCAGCCTCCCCGTGGTGGGAATGCAGCCTCACCCCAGCCCCAAGGGAGAAAAGCCAGTTGGGCTGTGAGGGTGGGGGTGGGACGGTCCTGGAAAACAGGATGGGGGAGCAGGGCCTCCCAGATACCCTTTCACCGCGTCCCCATCTGGTGCCCATGGTGTGGAGAGTGGCTCCTGGCCGGTCTCAAGGCTCCGGGTTCTGCGGGTGGCTGGGTCTTGCCTCCTGGTAAGCTCCCAAGGCCTGGCCCTGCCCGTGCATCCAGCCGGGCTTCCTAGCCCGGCGTGACCTGGTCCCTCTGCGGGCTGCGTCTCCCCTCTGGTGGGCCTGCCTGGGTGGGTGGGTGCTCCCCTGGGAGGACACCTTTGCGTCGTGAAGGCTCCTGGGCCGTGGTGTGGCGCTTGAGGGAAGTGGACGGGAAGGGAGGGGACCTGGCTTTTGAGTGCCGGGAGGTGGCACTGAGGCCACCGAAGGCTCGTCCAGCCCAGGCAGGGGTCTTCGAAAGGCTGACCTTTCCTACACAGGAGGGGAGACTGAGGCTGGCGCGGGGCAGGCAGGCCTCTACTCCCACCCTGGTCACAGCCTTCCCGTGCCCCTCTGCCAGCAGGGGCCCCTTACTGGACGCGGCCCGAGCGGATGGACAAGAAGCTGCTGGCGGTGCCGGCGGCCAACACGGTTCGCTTCCGCTGCCCAGCCGCCGGCAACCCCACCCCGTCCATCTCCTGGCTGAAGAACGGCAAGGAGTTCCGAGGCGAGCACCGCATCGGGGGCATCAAGGTGGGCCCGGCGGGGGGCGCTGGGGCCTCGGTGCCGGCCAGCAGGGCACAGCCCGCCGTCCGCTCACCCGTGTCCACCTGCAGCTGCGGCACCAGCAGTGGAGCCTGGTCATGGAAAGCGTGGTGCCTTCGGACCGCGGCAACTACACGTGCGTCGTGGAGAACAAGTTCGGCAGCATCCGGCAGACATACACTCTGGACGTGCTGGGTGAGGCCCGGGCTGGCGGGTGCGGGCGGCAAGCGGGCACGGGTCAGGCAGCCTCTGAGCACCCCCTGTCCCGCAGAGCGCTCCCCGCACCGGCCCATCCTGCAGGCGGGGCTGCCCGCCAACCAGACGGCGGTGCTAGGCAGCGACGTGGAATTCCACTGCAAGGTGTACAGCGACGCGCAGCCGCACATCCAGTGGCTCAAGCACGTGGAGGTGAACGGCAGCAAAGTGGGGCCCGACGGCACGCCCTATGTCACGGTGCTCAAGGTGGGCCCCGCCGCGCCGCTGGCTGGGTGGGGCAGGCGGGCTGGGGGGGGGGGGGGGGGGGGGCGGGGGGGGGAACTCCTTGCAGGTGAGCCGTCAGGCCCGGCCCCGCGGGGGCCCCCTTCGCCGGGGACAGGGAGGGCATCCCAGGCAGGAGGCCTGTCATGTTTAAGGGACGGGGGTCGGGGCACAGGCTTTGGACCTACGGGGAGAAGCAGCGGGGGGTCGGCTCGGGAGGTGGGGCCCGGCCCGGCACGCCAGGACCTACAGTGAGCCCTGTGTCCTTGCGCCCTTGTCTGCCTTCAGACGGCCACCCGCCCACCTCGCTGGGCCCTCAGGGCAGGACCGCCTGAGCTTTGTTCCCACGGCCCCGGCGGTGGGGGCCCCCCCAAGTTGGGGTGATTGCGACACTTGCAGCCCAAAGAGAAACATCTGTTTAGAGACGAGATGGGCCTGCGGGGCGGGAGCAGGGGTCCAGACTAGCCGCGGGGCGGTACCGGGTGCTCTCGGCCCAGCCGTGTGGCAGCCGGGGCCCCCGCGGTGGGCAGCTCCAGTGCCCTGGGAGGGCCTCTCTGAGCGCCACCAGCCAGGGCTGCGCTCCGGGCTGTTGGGGTGGATGAGGGGAAGGCGCATCCGCTGAGACGACAGCCGCCGCTGTGAGGTGCCTGCAAGCCGCCTCCAGGCAGCCTTCCTAGCTGGCACAGCCTAGTCTGCCCATCCGTTCCTTGGGGGTCTCAGAGCCTCAGAGCCTGGGGTCTAGACAGGCCCGCTCCTGCGCGGCCACTTCCATGCCCGGCGGGGCTTCCGCGCCTGAGCCGGGTCTCTTGTCCCTGCAGTCGTGGATCAGTGAGAGTGTGGAGGCCGACGCGCGCCTCCGCCTGGCCAATGTGTCCGAGCGCGACGGGGGCGAGTACCTCTGTCGAGCCTCCAATTTCATAGGCGTGGCTGAGAAGGCCTTTTGGCTGCGTGTTCACGGGCCCCAAGCAGGTAACAACTCTGTCCCACGCCTGCCTGGCACGCCGAGCTCCAGCTCCGACGCCCTGGCCCTGCGCCCACCCGCACGCCCCGCCGCTCGTGCCCCGTCCCCGGCTCACACTCTGCTCCTGGCGTGGCCACATCTGCGCCGCCGCCTCTCTGGCCTCCGCCGTGACCGCCTGCTTTGAGCCCCCGTGGCCTGCACCCCCGTGCGCACCCCCCCCGCCCCCCCCCCCCCCCCCCCCCGCCGCCCCCCCCCCCCGCCCCGCCCCCGCCCCCCCCCCCCCCCCCCCCCGCCCTCCCGCCCCCCCCCCCCCCCCCCCCCCCCCGCCCCCCCCCCCCCCCCCCCCCCCCCCGCCCGGAGGACCTCAGCCCCGAGGCCGGGCCGGAGCCCGTCTTCCGCTGCTCTGGCTCTCACGCTGTCCCTCCATCCCTCTCTCTGGCCCCTGCTCCCGCTGCGGCTCACTTCCTGCCCATCTCTCTGTCGCCTGCCCGCCCGCCTGCCCCTCCTGGTGCGCGCTAACCCCTCCTGCTGTGCTGCCGGTCGCACGCCTGGCTCACCTGGGACAGAGGACTTGCCGGTGGAGGGACTGGCTTCAGGCTCGGTGTGGACGCACGAGGCAGGGGGCCCTCGGCCGCCGTGGCCGTGGCCGTGGTGGTGGTGGCGGCGTTTTCCTTGCAGCCTGGCTGGATCGTCGCCGCGTGGACTCTGGCTGTGGTGCCCGCGGGAGGTGCTGGCGCTCTCCTATCGCGCTCTGTTCTTTCTTTGTAGACGGCGGGCGCTAACACCACCGACAAGGAGCTAGAGGTTCTGTCCTTGCGCAATGTCACCTTTGAGGACGCGGGGGAGTACACGTGTCTGGCGGGCAATTCTATCGGGTTTTCCCATCACTCTGCGTGGCTGGTGGTGCTGCCAGGTACCAGCTCCTGCTGCGCTCGCTCTGCGCCTGTCCTCTCGGGGCTGCAGCTCGGGACACGCCAACGCCATCGGGAACAGGCAGGGGACTGCAGAGCCCTCGAGCCAGGCCCTGTGCCCGGTATGGGGACAGAGCCCACACGGCCCTGTCTTGGCCCAGAGGGCCTCCCTCGAGCGCCCCATCCCCACGGGGTCCCCAGCAGCCGATGCGGTGGCTTTGGTGTCTCCCGGGTGGCGGGTGAGGGTGCTGCTGGCTCCGCTGGGCTCTTTCTGTCCTGGGTCTGCCCCTCCTGGCCCAGGTATTTCTGGCTGCTGGACCTTCAACAAGTAGGCCCTTCAGGCCTCAGCACTCGCACCAGGGGAGCTGAGCCCCCGGCCCGGCCCAGGGCGGCCCGCGGGGGCTCCTGAGAGGCTGGGCCAGGCCCCCAACGCCCGTGTCTTTGCAGCTGAGGAGGAGCTGGTGGAGGCTGGTGAGGCTGGCAGTGTGTATGCAGGTGTCCTCAGCTACGGGGTGGGCTTCCTTCTCTTCATCCTGGTGGTGGCCGCTGTGACCCTCTGCCGCCTGCGCAGCCCCCCCAAGAAGGGCCTGGGCTCGCCCGCCGTGCACAAGGTCTCCCGCTTCCCGCTCAAGCGACAGGTAACAGAAAGTAGATACCAGGTTCCGAGCCGCCCGTGCCCCTGCCCCAGCCTCCCGGGCTCCCACGCTCAGTCCCCTTCCTAGTGTCAAGGCCTGGGGCCTGGGGCCTGCCCAGGGACAGCCCCTCTGCTGTGGGGGGCGCCGAGCCCTCACTGGTCTCTGTGGTCACCGCACAGAGCCGGGTCACTCTGGGCACAGAACATTTTAGAAGTCTTCGCTCAGTGCTGTGCAGGAGTCAGGCAGCCATCCCAGGCCCGGCCTCGGCCTACGGTCCAAGGGGGCCGCACCCTCGCCCCTGCGCCCCGGTCGTGCAGCCCCGCAGCACCAACCTGCCCCTGCTGACCCAAGCAGGTGTCCTTGGAGTCCAGCTCGTCCATGAGCTCCAACACGCCGCTGGTGCGGATCGCCCGGCTGTCCTCGGGGGAGGGCCCCGCGCTGGCCAACGTTTCTGAGCTCGAGCTGCCCGCCGACCCCAAGTGGGAGCTGTCCCGGGCCCGGTCAGTGGTGTGCGAAGGCCTGGGGCCCTGGCCCGGGGGGGCGGGGGGGCGCACACACGGTGGGGGCCGGTGGTGGGGAGGGGCCCCACTCAGACCCGGCTGCATTCAGATGGGAATCAGGCCACTGCTGGAGATGGGGCTGGGGCGTGGCGGGGAGGACCTGCCCCAGGAAGTGCTCTCACCGGCCCAGAGGCCGGGGTGGGGAGTGGGGTGGGGGGTGGGGCAAGGTCCTCCACCAGCATGAGCACGGTCGCCGGGGCGAGGGTGGTGGGCTTCCTGGAGGCGGTGGCACTGCACCTCAGGCTGCCTGGGACAGTGCCTCGAGCGGGCGGGCGTGCTCATCGCTTCTCTGCTTTTGCCGCCAGGCTGACTCTGGGCAAGCCTCTCGGGGAGGGCTGCTTCGGCCAAGTGGTCATGGCGGAGGCCATCGGCATCAACAAGGACCGGGCTGCCAAGCCCGTCACGGTGGCGGTGAAGATGCTGAAAGGTGAGGGAGGGGCGTGGCGAGGGGAGCCTGGACAAGGCTGGGGCGGCCCAGCCTGACAAACCCCCTCCCCGCACAGATGACGCCACAGATAAGGACCTGTCGGACCTGGTGTCCGAGATGGAGATGATGAAAATGATCGGGAAACACAAGAACATCATCAACCTGCTGGGCGCCTGCACGCAGGGCGGTGGGTGCTGGGCCCGCGGCGGGCAGCGGGCGGCCCCCAGGTGCAGCCCCCGCTGAGACCCCGGTGCTCGCAGGGCCCCTGTACGTGCTGGTGGAGTACGCGGCCAAGGGCAACCTGCGGGAGTACCTGCGGGCGCGGCGGCCCCCGGGCACGGACTACTCCTTCGACACTTGCCGGCTGCCCGAGGAGCAGCTCACCTTCAAGGACCTGGTTTCCTGCGCCTACCAGGTGGCGCGGGGCATGGAGTACCTCGCCTCGCAGAAGGTGAGCGCCGCCGGCGGGGCTGGGCCAGGCGGGGGGCGGAGGGAGCAGCCGGTGGCGACCGCCTCAACCCCGGTCCTGTCCCCAGTGCATCCACAGGGACCTGGCCGCCCGCAATGTGCTGGTGACCGAGGACAACGTGATGAAGATCGCGGACTTTGGCCTGGCCCGCGACGTGCACAACCTCGACTACTACAAGAAGACCACCAATGTGAGCCCGGCCTGGGGAGGGTGGGGGACTCAAGCTGGGAGGGCGCCTGGCGGTCAACAAACCCCGTTCCTCCTCCCAGGGCCGCCTGCCCGTGAAGTGGATGGCGCCCGAGGCCTTGTTTGACCGCGTCTACACCCACCAGAGTGACGTGTATGTGGCCCCCAGACCCGGGCGGGGGTGGGGTGGGGAGCCGGGTGGGGCACAGGCCACACCAGGGCAGGGGCTGGGGAGCTGTGGGGCAGAGCCGGGCACCATCGGTAGCCCCCCTGCACCCCACTGGGGTCTGTCCTGTGGCTTCCGCATGCACGGGGGACCGTGGGCGGCAGGGTGGGCTGACGGTGCCGCGCCCCCGCCGCCCACAGCTGGTCCTTCGGTGTCCTGCTCTGGGAGATATTCACGCTGGGGGGCTCGCCGTACCCCGGCATCCCAGTGGAGGAGCTCTTCAAGCTGCTGAAGGAAGGCCACCGCATGGACAAGCCGGCCAACTGCACGCACGATCTGTGAGCGCGCGCCCGCCTGTCACCTCGGGACCCCCGCTGGGCCCCACTGAGCCCCGCCCCCGGGCAGGGGGAGGGCCGGCCTCGAGGCTGTTCCCAAGGGAGGGGGACGGGCGCAGGGCAGGGCCCACCTGAGTGCTGCCCCCAGGTACATGATCATGCGCGAGTGCTGGCACGCCGTGCCCTCCCAGAGGCCCACCTTCAAGCAGCTGGTGGAAGACCTGGACCGCGTGCTCACCGTTACATCCACCGACGTGAGTGCGGGCCCCGCTGCCGCCCCCCGCCCACCCCCCGCCCCGGGCCTGGACGGCTCGGGCGTTGGAGGTGGTGCAGCACTGACCGCACCCCCACCCCGGCCCGCTCGCAGGAGTACCTCGACCTGTCGGTGCCCTTCGAGCAGTACTCGCCGGGCGGCCAGGACACGCCCAGCTCCGGCTCCTCAGGGGACGACTCCGTGTTCGCCCATGACCTGCTGCCCCCGGCCCCACCAGGCAGCGGGGGCTCGCGGACGTGAAGGGCCGCGGCCTGCGGGCCAAGCCCCCATCAACGTGAGAGCGGACCCCAGCCCGCCGTGCTGCCGCTGGTGTGCCGTGACCAACGGGTCTCACCGGCCTGGGCTCAAGACCTGGAACTGGTGGACAGATGGACAGACAACTTCCACATGTGTGCATGTGTGCACTCGTGTGTGCTCTGGGGTCCCCAGCATGCCTGCCCTGCTGTACGGTGACCTCCTGGCCACCTGGGCCGGCAGCACCGGTGGACCGGACGTAGAATGTAAGGGGCTTCTCCCGTGGGGCCCCTCAGGGCAGGGAGCCGGGCCCCTCCCCAGGCTCCCCTGACCCCCGCTGCCACCCCACAGGGAGCATCGGGGTGGGCTGGGCTCCAGTGTCCAGAGTGGGCTGAGCCCCCCCCCTCCAAGTGCCCAAGCTGAGCCTACAGGGAAGCCCCCGTGTGGCACACCTCCCACCCAAGCGGCACCTTGCGCCTGGGGTGAGTGTTAGCGGCTCCCCACCTCCAGGCCTCCCCACTTCCCACCTTGACCCTCAGAGACTGAAATTACGGGTACCTGAAGGCGGGAGCCTTTAACTTCTATCCGAAAGGTTTATTCCAGAAATGAGTGTACATTTATATAAATAGATGCGTGTATATGATATACACATACATATATATATAAATATCTATATGGAAGAAGGAAGGCTGGTACAACTGAGGCATGGGGCCCTGAGGGTGCAGGGGCCGGGGTGCCCTAGTCGAGGGAGGCGCCCTGGGGGCTCGCTGTTGAGACGCAAAAACCAGCAGAGGTTGGAGGGGCTTTTCTGGCACCGCAGTTTTGTTTTAAAAATTGTTCCTGGACCTGTATGTTTGTAAAGCTATTTATCGACCCCCAGAGCCTGTGTCCCCGTCACTCCCCAGGCTCCTAGCGTTCAGCCAGCTGCACGGCAGAGGCTTAAGTTTTAACTTATTAACAGTGAGATGGTTTATGCTTTGTTTAGGGGCATTGCTGAGGGTGTGTCCAGCCCACACCCCAAGGCCAGAGCCAGCCCCCTGATACCCTAAAGGGTCGTTAATAGTTTGAGATGATTCCGAGGGGATATTTTATTTCCTTTGGCCTTCTTTTGCAAGAGAAGTAGATTTCTATAGGATTTTTCTTTAGGAGATTTATTTTTTTAGACTTCAAAGCAAGCTGGTATTTTCATACAGGTTCTTCTAATTGCCATGTGTTCCAGGCGGGGAGGCAGTTTCGGGGTGGGGGGGCAGCCCTGCATGCAGGTTCAGATGTTATTAGATGTTACAAGTTTATATATATCTATATATATAATTTATTGAGTTTTTACAAGACGTATTTGCTGTAGATTTAACACTTCTTACGCAACGCTTCTAGACTTTTGTAGCCCAGACTGCTACCTTTCAAAGCTTGGGAGAGAAAGCCACAAATTCAGTTTTGTTACTTTTTGTACTGTTAATGGCCCTGAGTTTGGGCGGCTATTCTCTGCTTGTCAGCGGGCTCAGGGTGGTCTCGGTTCTCAGGGCCCCCAGCCTTGTGGGGGCCAAAGGTGTTGGCCCAAACCAGCAGACGTGCTTTCCAAAAAATAAAGACAACTGGTTCAGATCCATGCTTTCTTGTCTCCTGTCCTGGAGTCCCAGGCAGCTCCCGGGTACTCACTGCCCACCTGGGACAAGTCCTGTCATCTGTCCCCCGAGGAGGGAGGGGTCACTACTTGCTGCTGGAGCAACAGCTGCAGGGGTGGGGGCCCCAGACTAGACTGGCTGCCTGGGTCTTGCGCTCTCCAAGGCTTTCCAGCCCAGGTCTTTGGCTCAGAGACGATGTGTCCTGGGCAGAGCTAGGGTGAGGGTGATCCGGTGTGCCCAGCTGCACGGGGGCCCGACGCTGGCAGGGTGGAACCTCAGGGTCACCAGTGGTTTTCACTGCCTTGGTCGGGGGTCTCCAAGGGCAGGGAATGCAGGTGATGTGTTTGTGGGAGGGGGCAATGGGGAAATCCTCTGGGCCTGCCCATCCCCTATCTGCCCCCAGCTAGTGGAGTTCAGGGACCCTGAGGGTCACATCCAGGTACCTGTTGCTGGTTCCAAGGCCTCCCTCTCCTCACCCTGCCTCCTGGTGTCTGCCTACCCTGTCAGCTAGGGGAGGGGGACGTTTCTAGGTGGGTCCCCCCCATGGAGCCCCATGTAAACAAAGCCCTCACCTGGCGCCCTGATTCAGCCATCTGCACTCCTGGCCACACTCCTGCTCCTGGCTGGCTTCCCACCCCCTCCCGGGCCTGGCACCCGCCTTGGGCCCCACCATTGCCCCCTGCACTCCGCCGCCGCCACTCCTTCAACTTTGGGCAGGTGCTGCATGCTGATGCTCGGCTCATTGGGGTGCTGAGGACCCAGTGACAGCATCTGGGCCCGTCTACTGCACAGTTCACAGCCCGAGGGAGAGGGAAGACTGAGCAGGGCACCCACCCAGCAGTGGTGGGAGTAAGTCTGGGAAGGCTTCGTGGAGGAGGCAGCAGTGCCCAGGCCAAGTGGCGGACTCGGGTGGATTCAGGGACAGGTGGCTATGCAGACTCACGCCCTCCCTGGGACCCAGCGCTGCCCAGGGCTGGCTGTCCCTCCCCCCCAGCCCCTGCTTTGCCACCTGGTGCCCCTGCCTCTGTCCCTCGTGCCTCACGGTCTTGGACAGTATGAACTTTTACTCTGGCTTCTAAGAAACTCGCTCCCCTTATTGCTGTGTCCAGCTCACCTTCCAACTGAGGGGGTTTCTGGGGCCTCTTTCTGGAGAGCAGGGGAGGTTACTAGAAGCTTGGTTCTGGATAACGATGCCGCCCAATACCTGACCCAACTCGGGAAAGCGCTCCCAGCCCCCAAGCCCCTCCAGCCTGCCAGAGACCCCGCATTTGTGTCCAACGCTCGGGAGACACGCAGCGATAGTGACGGGGATGGCAAGGAGGCCAGCGAAGGCCAGAGCCTGGAGGGAGGCCAAGGCCAGGAGGCGGGGAGGCGGCGAGGCGGGCGCAGTGCGGGCGTGCTGCGGGGCCCTCTAGCGCTGGCCGGGCCGAGCCCCAGCTCTGCCCCCGGCCTCTCTCCTGCCTGAACCCGGCTGGGCTCCGGGTGCGCTCTGGACACCGAGGGGACTGGCTGCGGGCGAGGCGCGGCTTTCCGGGACACCGGACGGAGACCCGGGGCGGGGCGCTGGCCGGAGAGGGACGGACCCAGGTGGGCAGGTTGTGGGGCCCGACAGGGGAGCCGCTCAGTCCTCCCCGGAACCTCCCCGGAACCTCCCCGCCCCTCCCCCGCCCAGCCCCTCCCCTCCCCCGCCCAGCCCCTCCCCTCCACAACACTGCCACGCCCCCTCGCCCGCCTGGCCCCGCCCCTCACCTCGGCCCCGCCTCCACCCGCGGCCCGGCGTCTTCTCAGAGCCCCAGGGCCGGTGGGGTCCGGCTCAGGCCCGGGGGCGGGCTGCTGCGGGGCTTAGGGAGCAAGGCGCCAACACTCCGCCCGCCCTCAGAGGGTCCGGAGCCCCCATTCTCGGACCTCTAGGTCCGGCCTTGCCCTCTGCCTTCCCCTCGCGGCCTGGGGTGACTCACCTGGTGTGTGCGTCTGCACCTCTGTCCTGGCCCCCTGGCCTCCGGAATCTTGTTCCCCCCCTGTAGTGTCGCCAGGCTGGACAGCGACCTCTCGGTGTCCTCTTCCCCAGGCGGGTGCCTGAATACACTCCTCTTGGCCCCATGGTCTTCAGGGGGCCGCATCACCACGTGTAAAAACACATGACGCCACCGGGAACAGAACGTCCCCAGTCGCCCCCCCACCACCACAGTTGATGCAGGTTTTAAAGGTTTTAAATCAGGACCCCATCTGGCCGTCCCTCCTCCCGCTACGTGTGGCTTTTGGAGGGGGATGGCCATGGACGTGCTGGTGGCTCCTGTGGGGGGTCATGAGACTTCCCCGGCTGTCTGGGGCAGTGCCTGGGGCACACAGCCAGTGGCCCCGCACACCCAGCTCCCCACCCCCGTGACCCCAGGGTAGCCATCCGGCTACCGTCTGTCCACCACCTGGAATTCTCCCTGAAGAGCTTCCTGGGATGGGCTCTATTTCCTCCTGAGAAAACAGGGTAGTCCCCAATTCTTTCCTGTCACCTGTTCTCGCTGTTTTAGAATCTCCATCAGCAGGGAAAGACTTTCCTGAGGATCAACTGGGTGTGTGGATTTTTGTTTATGATCGATTTTGTCTTTTTTTGCTACTCATTCTGTCCTTGCTTTGGCCCGAAGTGTCCCTTTAGGTTGGCTGTGGTGTCCCTGGACTATATATAGCCCCCTTGCCCGCCCCCGCCCGGGGTCAGCCTTGCCAGAGCCCTTGGTGACCCTCGATGTGACCTTCTGAACCAAAGAAGTGAGAAGCCTCGAATCCTGGGGCACCGGCTTGTACCTGAAGACTCGCACGGCCCCGACCCCGGCCACCTTCTCCCGGGGCCCGGCCTGAGGAGGGTCCAAGTACAGTGGACACACTCAGTCCTCAGCATGAGGGGACTGGGTGCCTGCCAGGGGTGAGATGAACCTGGACAGGAGCCACTGAGGCCCAGCAGCCCCCTGCCCGTGCCTGCACCCCCAGGAACATCTCCCTTCCATACGGGTCACGACCCACGTGCGAGCCCGCAGAACCCCTGGGGCAGACTGTGGCCAAGGCCAGGCTCAGGGAGAGATGGGGTGCAGGTGAGGACGTCCCTGGGCAAGGGGTCGGGGCTCAGCAAGGGTAGAAGGAGCCCCCACAGGACCTGGGGCCAGTGCAGGGGTGAGGCCGCCTGAGACAGGCTGGACGTCCCAGCTCACGGGGGGCGGTCTGTCCACGCTGGGAGAATGGGGAGGTAGGACCCTCTGCCTGGCGGCCGTCCCAGCTGGGCCTCAGCTCTCTGCCCAGGGTAGGCCCCCCCGCCCCTGGAGCCCAGAGATGAGGGCCGGGGAGGCAGTGGGCGCGGGGCGGGGGGGCGCTGCGGGCTGGCCCCCGGTCCGCACACCCCATCAGCTCTCTGGGCCCTGCCCTGGTGTCGGGGAGACCGCAGTTCCTGAGGGCCCCCTCAGACAGTGGAGGGCACAGCCCTTAGGCAGTGCTGTCCCTGATCCCAGGGGCCCTCAGTCTCTCAGAACAGAATTCCACCCCCTAGGGCTGGCCAGGGTCCCAGCCCTGCCCACCAGGGACCACCCCCCACCCCGGGGCCTCTGAGGGTCGGGGAGAGGAGAGCCTGGTCAGGCAGTGGCTGCCTCGCCGACCTGACAGACCGTCACAGGGAAGACAGGCCATCACGACAGCGCTTTATTCAACCTTCTCCTTACATCAACTCGAGTGCCTAGTCACCAGCACAGTCTGAGGGGACGGGCAGGGCACGCGGTCACAGCACAAGGGGACACCAGAGGCCAGGACCAGAGCGCTGGAAGGCCCTCTTGTCACGCTCTCCTGCCGCGAGGCTGGGACCAGACGCTCAGACAGCTCTGCCATTTCCCGCCCTGACTGCCAGTGGGCCACACGGTTCACAAATCTGGTTTTGAGCTGTTACAGGAGCACGAATTTGATATTTTAATAAAAACACTATTTCTAAAAAAGGTGTTTACACACAGCCCGAGGAGGCGGCCCTCAGGCCAAGCCGGCCCTGGGCCCCTGGTGGACATGCAGACAGAGCCGCCAGCGGCCCAGGGCCCGCCGTGAGGAGCACCGCCTAGAGGTTCTTCTCTGCAAGTTACCAGGTGCCCTTCCTTCTCAAAGTCTGGATTTGGATATTCCAAAGCGACTCTGGAAGCCACGTGCCAACTTCCTGAATCCCTAATGAAGAAACCGGTGTTTAGGTGGAGCGAAGGAAGAATTCCCATTCCGCGTCACAGATCCCGAGGACGTCACAGACGGCGGCCCTGACGCCTCGCTCGTCACGTAAGACTCTCGTTCCCAGAGCCGCGTTCCATACACCTGCACCTGGGCACCCCGTCAGCGGCAATAAATAAATTTCAGGACAGTAAAAACAAGCAACGCGAAGGGGGAAGCCTGCAGCAGACCGTGGCCCACGGTACAAACACCAGCGAAGGATCCCGCTGCACTGGGGGCGCAGACACACATGATCCAGGAGGGCGGGGGGGCGGGGTGGGTGTGCGACGGCAGCGACGGGGACGCCCTGGGCGCCTGGCGAAGGCAGCGAGGTGAGGACGGAGGCGGGAAGGATGACCCCATCCGCGGCACGCCGGCTACCACGAAGTTCACGAGCAAGCATGCTTCCGCAGCGGAAAACCAGGCCACTAAAACACGTGTGAGAGGACTCATAAGTATCAATTAAGCACGGGGAACGTGCCTCTTGAATAACCGAACGAGGAACCCTTCAGAACCCACTGCCCCTTTACGAAGGTTTACATCTGAGAATACAGAATCTTATTTTGTCGAGTTTCTTCTTTATCGGCTGGGTAAAAAGTTTCAAGTAACTTGGAAGCTATCATCTCGTCGTCGTCCTCCCTCAGCTCATCTGGCCACTCTAGGCCCACGTCTTCCGATTCCTATGTCTGTTTTCCCCCAAAGAACGTTCTTGCCGTACCTGACCCAGCCTTTGCGTGGGCAGCCGGACAGAGCTGGGGCCGC